TTTTTCTAATTTTAAATTTTTAAATATTTATTATTAATTTTTTTAATTATTATTTTTAATATTTTTAGTATTTTTATTATATTTTTCATTAATATTTTATTTTACATAATTATTATATTTTTTATAATAAATTTTTATTTATTTACTTAATTAATTTATAATCTAGTAAATAGTTAACTATAATAAAATAGTTTTATATAAAATATCTTATTTTTTACTATAATTATAAATTAGACTTTAATAGCTTAAAATTCTTTTACAAATTTTAATAAATAAAAAAATTTGTTAAAATCTTTATGTTGTTAGCGTTAAAAATTTGCCTTAGAAAAATGATTTACAAAGTCATTATCTTGATCAACGTATTGCATTGGAAAATCATTTAATTTGAAGGATTTATGAAATTCACCTGATTTGCTTGTTTTTCCTGTATTTTCTAAACAGTCTGTTTAATCTGTTTACTTTATTTCGTCTGTAATTTCTGTAATATCTATAACTTATTTTATTTCTTTTTATTATTTTTATTATTTATATTATTTTATTATATTTAAGTATATTTTTATTGAGATATATATCTATATTTAGTTAATTTATAGCGTAGCAAATAATTAGCTGTAGTAAAATCATTTTATATAAATAGAATAGCTTTTTGCTTAAGTTGTAAAAAAACTCAATTGTAAGTCTATAAACTCAGTTGTAAGTTTATAAGTTTCATATGAGTTTCAAGTTATAAATAAAGGAATCAATTTAAATCCATACAGACTACTTTTTCCTTTAACGTTGTCTTTCACCTAAGATTGTTATGATATATTACACTAACTTGCTATTGAGTTTATCATTACGAGTTCGATTAATATATCTTAAGTTCTAAAACGTGATAAATTGCTGAGTTAATTTAAGTATAACAGATACCTGTAGAACTTAGAGAAAATCTTAAGGTCAGAAACTCCAACATGTAGAATCAGCTACCGCAGCCTTTCAACTTAGACGTTAAGATAAATAAAAACAAACCCAGTGACTATATATATTTTATTTTTTATATTTTTTATTTAAAATTTGATTGTAATATTTTATAAATTTGTTTTTAAGTTTATAATTAAGGTTAAGTAAATAAATCTTAAATTTTAAAATATATAAATTAAAAAGTTAATTTAAGAATTTTAAATTTGTAAAATGTCAAGTATTCTTTAAAATTATAAAATCTAATTTATTTAGATATTTAAAATTTTAAAATTAATTTAGTAATAATACTAAAAAAAATAAAAATAAAAATAATAATAATAATAATAATTATACTTTAGTATGAATTAATAAATTACTAATAATAAATTTCAAATTGATGTAATTAATTTTGATATTATCAAAATTAATTAGCATCAAAATATAATAATAATAATAAAATTATAAAAAAATAATAAAAAATTTAAAATAATTGTAAATTAATATAAAGAAATAATATAAATTATTATTTAATAATTTTATTTAAATGCTAAATTTTAAATTTTATAAATACTTGGTAGTAAAAAATTATTTTTAAAGGGTTAAAATTTTTTATTATTAAATATTTAAATGTTTTATAATAAAAAAAAAGAGGAAATTAACAAAAAAATTTTTAATTAATATTAAATCTGAATTTATTTTACTAAAAAATAAGAATAAATTTAATTGTAATATTATATTATACATCTTATTTGTAATACCCATAATTTTATTCAATCAAAATTTAAGATCAGATGTAATATCAATAATTTAGCAAATCAAAATAAAAGATCAGTTATGTAATTAAAATGAAAATTTTTTTAAAAAATCTTAAGAAACTGTTTATAACCAAATATTTTTTATAAAACTGTTTTTAATACATTAAGTAAAAGTTTTCTAAATTAAATTTTACATTTAAAATTTTGTTTATAAAATATTTAAAATAATTTATTATTAAGAAAAATAAAAAAGGGTGTTATAAATAAGACATATAACAGGATGTTACAAATACATTTTACAAAAAATGAATAAATCTAATTGTAACATTATGTTATGTATCTTATTTATAATACCTATAATTTTATTTAATTAAAATTTAAGAACAGATATAATGTCAATAATTTAGCAAATCAAAATAAAAGATTAGTTATATAATGAAAATAAAAATTTTTTAAAAAATCTTAAAAAACAAATATTTTTATATAAAACTGTTTTTAATACATTAAATAAAAATTTTCTAATTAAATTTTGTATTTAAAAATCTTATTTATAAAATATTTAAAATAATTTATTATTAAGAAAAATAAAAAAAAATACTACAAATAAGACATGTAACAAGATATTATAAATATATTTACAAAAAATAATATTTAGTTTAAAAATTTATTTTAGTATTTCAATTATAAAATTTCTATTATTAGCAAAGTAATTACCTAATAATATTAAATTATGTAAATAATACAATATAACAATTTCTTAATTCAAAATTCTGAAAATACTAAGAATTTTGAAAATATAGAAAATCTATATAATTCTACTAATTTTTCAAATACTGATAATAATTCTAATTTTATAAATTGAATAAAGTTTAAGAATATTCTTATTTTTAATATTTTACTTTTAAAAATTACTACATATATTTAATACTATCACATGAATTCTATTTAAATAATTTATTATTTTGCGTCACATCTTTCACATTTTATTTTTATTATATATTCTAGAAACTTAGAATTTTTTTCGAATGTAAAATTATATTTGTTATATGTTATTTATCACATTCTTAATTTTAGCCAAAATTTATAATACTGAAAAAATGCCTTTTTAGAATGGTAATTAATATTATATAAATCTAAAAGGTAATTTTAATTTTGACAAAAAACTAATAAAGTTATATAAATTTATAAAAGAAAATTTATAATACTGATAATGCTTACTAATAGTGATAAATAATAAACTTCTTTACTTTTTATTAATTTTATTATTATACTACATATTTTTATTATTTTTATTATTTTTATTATCTTTAGTTTATTTAGTTTACTTATATTTTATCTATCAAATTAGTTAGTTTATAGTATAATAATTAATTAATTATAACAAAAAAAATTTGTATAAATAGATAAACTTTTTGCTTATGTTGTAAATTAACTCTTTTACAAATTCTGAAACTCTTTGCAAGTTTATAAATACTTTTGTAAATACAAGTTTCAATATTAATAAAGGAATTAATTAAAACTTTCTCTTTTTAATTTTATATAATCTAATATGATTCTTACATATTATTTGTAATTGAATTTATCATCTAAATTCTTTAATTAAATTTGTTTGTATATTGTCTTTCAAGTCTTTATATTTAACAGATTTACATGTAAATTTGATATAGTTAAGAATTAGACAGATCTTAAAATTTTAGCTACAGTTAGCAGTCTTAAGTAGAAAATTAAGAATATAATCAACCTGAGTAAAGAATTTTATAGTAATACCATTTATATGATAAAACTTGTAAGAAAATGATTTGATAAAATTCAAAATTCAAAATTAATTAATTAAGTTTAAAATAATAAAAATATTCTATATAAATAGATTTTAATATTTAATAAATAATATAAATTATATATAAATATATATAAAAAATGTTTTTAATAAAATATTAATGAATTTTTAATAATTTAATAAAAAAATTAAAAATTTTTATTTTTATTTAAATTTAAAAAAAATTAAAATCATTTTAATAGTTTAGTTTTATTATTCTTTGATTTATTATTAATATAATACAAATTAAATAAAAAGTATATTTTATATTTTATTTTAAAATAAAAAAATTTATGATAAATAATTCTATAAAAGATAAAAGATAGATTGTAATTATAAATTTATAATTATATAAAATAAATAAACAAATTTTATAAAAATACGAAAAATATATTTATAAATATAAGTAGAAATTATGTAATTTTATTAATTCAAAAGTTTATATTTATTTTTATGATATTAATTTATAAAAGATATAGGTAAGATTGAAAATATTGATATCAAATGTATTTTATTGTTAATCTAAAATAAAGAAAATAAAATAAAAGCAATACATTAATTAATAAAATTATCTTTTATATATAATAAAAATGAATAATTATATAATAAAATAAATTAAAGGTAATTGAATTTTTAATTGATGAATTTAAATATTTATTATTTATTATTCTTTGAGATTTTAAGAATAATAAATAGAAATACAAAAGATAATAAAAAAAAAGTTAGAAATTGTTTTGTTAATCTCATTACAAGTTTTAATAATAATTGTTTATAAGTAAAAGAGAAAGAAAATGGGGATAATTCAAAATAACATATTTAAAGACATGTAGTTTAGTGTGAAAAAATAGAAGATCAGGAACATATAAATACAAGGATTTATATATAAAAATAGATGGAAATGTCAATAGTCAAAGGGTATTCTTTTGGGCTTTGCTCAAGGATTGATTATTAAAATCCATATTCATCATTAGATTATAAGATTGCTTGTCTAAACCTATTTTAGATATAGCAAAACGTTAGTTTCTCGGGTTTTTTAAGATTTTGATAAAGTTTCGCCATTTTTATATGTTTGATATATAGTTTTCCAAGTTTTACCATTTTGACGACTTGTTAAGATCCTAGGGTTACCCGAGCACCTTATTTGGTTTCTAGTTATGTATATATAACTATCAAGATGTCCTCCTTTTTCTTTTACTTTTCCCATCTATCGAGGTGTAATTTGCATTCCTTTATCAATAACAACTTTTGTTTTGATATATATATATTTATTTATTTCTAATTTTCCATCTCGAAATGAACAACTCTTTTTTTTAAAAAAATCTCATATTTTTAATAAATTAAAAATGAAAAATGACGAACAAAATAATGATGTCATGAAAAATAGAATGTGAACCCTCTTGATAAGATAAATTATTCTACCGTTATGCACATGTTACATGATTTGTACATTCAACGATTAAAATCTTCACATAAATACGTGGAAAAAAATATTAGATATATTCGATATCTGAAGATAGATAACCATCAGTACTGTGTTTGCGAGGCGCCCGGGATCTTGGTTTCTTTCTCATCAATTTATGCGGATATTTTTTCAAAATGTGATCCCTTTCTGCAATCCAATTAACATTCTCATTTATTCCTATTATCTCACGTGCCATAACTTTCGACACGTTATCACGGGACACGTTATTGGTCGAACTCATACGATTGATTTTTTGTGCATAAAACTTTTCCTGTAACTTTGTCGACAAATTATTATAAAACCTTTCTTCGCCAGGAACCGAATCTTTTAATAGCAAGCGTATTAGTAAAAACCTTAGAAAGTTCGATGTAAACAAAAATCATACCAAGATGATCTGTAACAAACTCTGCTACACGAAAACGAGTTTTCTCGGGCATCCCTATATAATAATCACAAATATTATAGTCATTCTGCCACTATATGCGCGTAATTTAAAGATTAGACTGACTTTCTGGTAATTCGACCGCTTTTGTGTAAGCGTTAGAATTCTTTGGTGTACTTGTTATACCTAGTGAACAAAATTTGGTTTTGATTTAGTGAATTACATCAAGATCCATTTTCTGATTAGAAAGGAATCGAGAATGACCCACTTGATTGAATATTGCTTAACTTTGGTAGATTGTTTTCAATGTGACCCCAACTAACGTTCCTTTGTGAATTGTCATTATGAAGTAGATTAGCCTTAAAATATGGAGAGTTTTGCGCAGTTTGCATAACATTTTGTTGCTGTGATGGTATTTGCATGCCATTAGGCATCTGTGAAGCAGAAATATATTCTTGATATACTTGACTAAATACTAAGGTATTGGAACTTGCAGGTTGACTTTGAGATCCAGCCATGACACATGAACTAGTTTGCGTGGTTAGAATACTACTCTGTTGAAGAATTTTGTTGTCAGGCTGAATGTTCGACTCAGATACTATAATTCATAAATCAATTAATATAAAAGTTAATCAAAATTTTCTAAATCATTTAAGAAACTACCTGTTAGTGGTTGTGAACTATATGCGTTCGTATTCTCTGCAGACTGTTGAGAATACATCCTATTAAGGAGTTTTGTGTATTCAGAATTATTTTGATTCTTAGCATCGTTATTTTGTTCCATCGTGCTTTTTGATTCACTTTCAAAATTTCAGGAAGGAGAAAAAGAAGCGCGATAAGGACGCGAAATTAACAAACATCTAGATTAGATTTGATTTCTAAATTAGTAAATTTAATTTATTAGTAACTAAATTAAGTCGTAATGTATAAACGTAAAAATACTATCAAAAAAAGCTTCCGTTTTGAGAAAGGATCGGTGACATAATGCCATTCACGTGAAATCATGTATTTATCGAGATCTAATTAAACTTTGGTTTACTAGAAGAAAATGGTAAGATATTTACGTCTTTCCTCTATCTTCGTTCGAAAGATTTAATTAATGCTGATTTAAATAGGGAAAAGCAAAGAAAACGAGGAAATTCGCCGAAGTAAAACGATTGATAAATCCAAAGGATTCAAGACTGTGAGTATGACATTATTTATTATTTGCATAATATGTACCATACGAAATAATTCATTCAACTTGATATGACCTTTTATTATATTTTTCATTAATTATTAATAATAAATTGATTAAAATTAAATTAGAAAATCTGTACAAGAGAAACAAAAATCTCAACAGGAGAAAAAAGTTAAAGAAGCTATTCATAATGTGTAAGCTTTCTTTTTAATTTTAACCTAATTTTGAATCAATAGATCACATACTTATTCATATTCTTTTTTTTTTTTTTTGTGTGAGATAGTCCGCAAGTAGCTTCATCACTTTTCTTTAGACACAACACGGCCCTCGGTCCACCTTATCAAATATTGGTGGATACAAATTTTATTAATTTCTCAATTCAAAATAAATTGGAACTTGTGCAGGCCATGATGGATTGCTTATACGCCAAATGTATGTATTTTTATTTATTTATTTATTTTTTTTATTTGATCGCATATTTCTTATTTGTATTAGTCAAAAATAGGTATTCCATGTATTACTGATTGTGTAATGGCAGAATTGGAAAAATTAGGTCCAAAATATAGGATCGCGTTGCGGTAAGAATTTACGTAAATCTACATTATTTACATTAAGGCATGCAATTGAGAGCTAAAGAAATTTTCATGATACTACAATTCAGAGTCGCTCGTGATCCAAGATTTGAAAGATTACCATGTACACACAAAGGAACGTATGCTGATGATTGTCTTGTGCAGCGAGTAACTCAGGCAAGTGTCATAGTTGATTCTAATTTACTTTATTTCTTCAAAATTAAATACAAGTTAATTTTATCAATTTTTTTTTTTTTAGCATAAATGTTATATAGTGGCAACTTGTGATCGAGATTTGAAACGTCGCATTCGGAAGATTCCTGGTATTCCTATCATGTATATTTCTAAACGAAAATATACTATAGAAAGATTACCAGAAGCTTATGGTGCTCCAGCTTAAGATGAATGCCAAGTCTGAAATACTTCTAGTTTAACTTTATTCTTATTTTTCATTTCACATTATTAAAATAACATTTTTGAAAATTCGAATCAGTTTGATATGCGTCGAAATTTTTCTCAAATTTTCTTTATATAATAAAAAGACGCGTTTTTTTTTTTTTTTTTTTTTTTTTTTTTTTTTTTTTTTGTAATAAATCAAAAAATGCGACACGTTATTATATTCTACAATATGATGTTATAAGTCTAAAAGAAAAAAATTTTTTATTTCGTTATAATTCCATATAGAGAAGAAAAATACGATTATTATTATTTCACTATATTTACATAACAAATGATACCTGCGTATAAAACGCTCCTTTTATTAATATTATCGGTTGCATATATGCACGTCGATATGTGTGTATTTTTTTTTTTTTTTTTTTTTTTTGAATTTTTAACTTTTTTGATTTTTTTTTTAAAAAAAAATCAAGAAAAGAAAATTCAGATGGACATCTCCATCTGAGGAGAAACAGATGTGGTTCCAGCTTCCCCGCTAAACAAGCCAATTACTCGCTTGTATGGAGTCATAATCTGATCGGGCGCTGTCGTCTTGGTCTTGATAAGCTCTCTCATCAGCTGCCGTCTACTAGCTTTAAGATCCTCTAATTGCTGCTTTAGCTCCGCCAACCTAATTACAGAACGTATTAGAAATACCAATAATATAAAATATTATGAATAGAATGATAAATCATCATACTTGTCAGCATTGCCACCTTGAAGCGGTGCGACATTCTTCATCTCTTGAGAGATGGTAGCGTCAAGTCGACATTGCCTTCGCTTTTCGACTATATCCCTCACCAAGCCAACCAATTCATTGATTCGTTCTTTTCGTGCGGGGAGTACGCGAATCTTGTCTCGCAACGCGTCAATATTAAATTTAGTCGTATTTAGCTCGTTAATGACCGTTTCTAACTGGGTACGAGAAGTAGATAATTCTTGATCTTTCTCTTGTATTTGTGACTGATATGAATTTTCAAATTCCTGCAAAATTGATGTGATATTTGGCAGAAAGTTTTGCGAAGCTTGAACACCTGTTGATGATGTAACGGTTGGTGATGTTCCCGAAACTTCTATTGACGATGAACTTTCAACAGCGGTTATTTCTTGATTTTCGAGGTTGTTTATTGTCTGGACGTTTTGTAAATGAGTTTGATGTTCAGAAGCCGCTCGAACTTTTGCTTCATGATCCAACTCTAATATATAGTCTTCGGCATTTTTTCCTAGCGCGTTCCTAATTTGAGGATCCGCTCCAGCATCCATTAGTAATCGAACCAGTTTCTTATTAGCATATCTTGCAGAAATATTGAGGGCGGTATCGCCTTCATGATTTTGCTTGTTAATGATGGCTTTACGATATTCTTCATTAGGATGTAGAGCTAAATTCGAAAGCAAAATCTCCATATAATATCTAGAAGGACCGATGCAACCTTTTGAAGAAGCAAACACTGCAACGTGATGCAACACAGTCTGATCACTTATGTCTAAATTGGGTATTGTCGTATGCAAGATTTGTACCATATCATTGAAACTTCTGTTATCATAGTTGTATGAGAACATGACGCTTCTCATCAGAGCAGTTTCTCCGTGAATGTTACCACGATCGAGATCTGAACCAGCTTTGCTTAAAAGAGAAGTCATTTCAATGTTTGCCATAGCAGCAGCCCAGTGAAGTGCAGTATGCCCTTGTTGATCGATTACGACGTTTGGGTCAAAATCTGTAGGTGGATTAATAACAAAATCTGGAATCGAAGTTCCATTCGATGTAAAATACGCCAACAAAAGCATTCCATATTGTTGGAATTGTGCAGACGCGGAATTCTTGACAATTTTAGTTGGACGACTGGAAGTAATAGTACTAGCCGGCGCGGTGGCAGGTTCAGGCTGTTTACGCTTTCGCTTTGTTTTCTGAACAGGAATAGTGTCATCTGACTCTGTTAAATCATTTGAAGAATCGATTGGAGCAGGAGTAGTTGTTAAAGAGGATATTGGAGAAACGGTCACGTTGGTAGTAGAAGCAACACTGACTATTTCATTTGTCTCATGATCAGAATCAATTTCCATAGCATCTTCTATTTGTTCAGCTTTCTTTAATTTCTTAGGAATCCTAGGTTTAATGGGTTTAGGCTCTTTTGGTTCACGTGGTTTGCGCGGTTTGTTAGACGCGGCCGTTACGTGTTTGGGCGCAAGGGGAGGACTTTGCGAAGTCGGTTGAAAATTAATAATTGGTTGTAAAAGTTCTTTGACATGATACCGTTCTGCTAAATCGACACCTGTTTCGTATGGAACCCAGGTACCTATAATATAAATTAAAAATATATTATTAATATTAAAGTGTTCATTTTATATTGTAATACGCGATAAAGAAATTGAAATTGTAATTAAATCATAAATATTTAAGCCTAGTAGGTACCCTACGTAAATAATAAGCATTTGAAGTAAACCTTAATAGTAAGAGAGGTATTAACCTTGATATTTTCCATATCCACCCTGAACTTTCTCGTGTTCCCCTTTCTGAACTTCACGTTCCAAAATCCTAGTTCGATGGGGTTTATCGAACTCTGCGACTTTCAAAATTTGAGTAGCGTTGAGCCAAGAATCTGTTTTACGTCGCATGACGGCTACATTTCGAACACTAGAAATGAGCGACAATGTTGAAAAGAAGTGTAGTGTCACATATTTGAGGTGGTAAGTTCTCAGCATAAACTGAACACTGATGAGTATTTCACACTTACCGAAACTCCCAAACTGGAACCCCTGAATAAGTTGCTTTATAAATTTGAGAGGAAAGGTCAGGTTCTGAAATTTCAATATGATTTTGCAATTCAGAAGACATCTTTTCTATTAAAAATTTAATAACGTGGAAAATAAAAGAGAGAAATCTTTTTTGAACAAAATTGCGCGGTTCAGGTGGTTAGTATTGTGGTGACTAAGATACGAGTCTTTTGATGTCGTGTTTGTGTGCTTTAAAAGAAATTATTATAAAAATAGTAAAAGTGATATCAATAATCAGCTGACGTAGGCAGGAACGTGAACCATGCAAAGTAACGTTATTGACATGTTTACAAAATTCTTCATAAGAGTTAGATATTCATTCATTATTTTTTAGTTGATGATTTATTAAGGCCGCGTTTTACGGTTACCCATATCATATTTTTTTATTTTTTTTTTACGTGTGTTTAGACAAATACGGAAAGGTTTAATGATAGTGGAAGCAAATCAATTTATAGTAAACACAGGAAAGAAAATAGAACTCAAAAGTTTAATGATATTATTTTATTCAATATATGAAAAAGGGTGCCGAGACGGGATACTTTAATAAGTAGGTAAATATTACGCGAAATAATAGCCTGGGATTTGTTGATTTATGATATGAATCAAGAACGGAACTATCGTGAATGTAAACCTTTATCTTTATTCCGGATCGTCGAAAATGATCATCTGGCGGACAAAAACGCCGCCACAATGATGTTGCTGCGCTTTACACGCGCATTTTCGCGGCGTATATGTTACCGGTCGATCCTCAACTTTACACCTCAGCCATTTGCGTTCCAATAATTTATTTGTGAAATCTTAGATGTTTTTCAACCAGGATCTTGGAATGTAACACCAATGCCACGTTTACACTCTCTTTCAATTGCTCGTTTTTATAAAATCATTTCTTATCATCAAAATTACGAACGCGTTTACAAAAAATATTATCAAATACGCGAAAAACGCGAATATTTCCATAGCATTTAAAGTATATGATTGAGATATTTGATTATATTTATATATTTAATGATAGGTATTTGGTAAGTATCGCAAATTATATAATTTAAATTGTAAAGTTTTATTTAAATAAATAAATAAAAGATTCCTTTTTTTTTTTTTTTTTTTTTTTTAAAAAAAAAAATTTTTTTTATAAAATACTTTTTTTGATTTTTATGTCATTCTCCTGAATTTCTTGATAACCTTGTACAAAATTTCATTTAGAGTTAAAAGATTGAAGCATTTTTTACTTTTAGGATATTAAAGTTGAAAATTAACGCACTCCTGCGGTTAAGTTTTCGTAAATAATCGTCGAGAGTTTCTCGATTGGCCGAAACGAATTTTTTGTTGAATAAAACGCATGATGTATGATTTGAGATTACACATACACATTGGGAGCACAAGCGATATTAAAAGATTGGATGTAGTACCACGTATCAATACCAAAAAAAAACCTTCATCGCACAAATTATTCTTGACGCGACCGACATACATAAATACGTAGTAAACAACTACATCTTTTTGACACTGTAGAATCCCAGTAAACCTGGCGAGAAAAAACTCACCCCTGCCATTTCCATTCCTTCCAAATTTTTGATCCGCTTCATTACTATTACTCTTTTCGCTAACCTATTGTGTCTTTTAGGTGTTTTACTATTACTCTTTTATCACTTTTTACTCTACAATTACTAGCATTTTAGAATTTCATTCCTCATCTTGTCACATCATGCCGTCCAAAACCTCAAAATACGTATATCACGGTCACAGCAAGATAATCTCAGGTGTTATAGCAGTTCTTGAAACCACTAACCGACCACTTTCCTTACAAGAGTTGGTTGATGAAATGACAAGACGTCAATTAGTAGTTTTTCAGTAAGTATTCCTTCCGAATTTCAGAATTAGTAATGCCATCATCTCGTACGTTTCCAAAAAGTTTTTCCTAAAACTGTATTAAAGATATTATTCTTTATTACAATTTAGTGGTGCCACTCCGCGTAATACTGTCAGTGGTGAAATTAGTAAACTTCTCAATGCAGTAGGTCCTAACAATGCTCCCATCCTAAAAGTTAACCAAGGAAAACTTACCAAGTTCTTTTTGCGACCGCGTCACCAACAGGATACGTTGTAAGTTTTCTTTTTCTTTTTTTTTTTTTTTTTCCTTATCTTTTTATATTTAATGTACTTTAAAATTTTTGGGAACTTAATTGATCTGATTTCACGATTTTGTCTTAATTAATACAGAAAACATGTTTCACATGGTAAAATTCAAAAAAGACATTCATCTCGCACTACTCGTAATAATCATCATTCGCAAACTACCATAATCTCTTCAGACAAGCAGGATCAAAAGGAGCGCGTGACTGATCAGAAAAAACGACGCCAAATGGATGATCTAAAGTACTTTATGAATAGATCAAATCTATTGTGATTTTAATTTCATCATTTAACTTTAAAACTAATTTTTAAATCTATCATAACTCTAGGGCTGCATATTTACTTTCTTGTCTTTCTGCACATTCGTTTTGGCTAAATTTTAAAAATGAACCAGAGAAAGATTTTAAATATTTTCTGGAAGCTCATGTCGGGGAAACTTCTTTGATTTCTAGCGTAAACGATGGTGATCTTAATAATAACTCAATGAAAATGGAATCATGTATGACAGAATATTGATAGATAATAATGAATTTTCTCTTAATTTTACTAATCTTTTTTTTTTTCCTTCTCTTCATATTCACTTAATACTCTGAGCATGATATCAACCATCATAAAAAAAAAAAAAAAACTCTCAAAAAATAAATTTAGAATTAATATTAGACTCATTACTTTTTCTTATCATAATCTTTATTTTAATTGTAGATATTATTCGTCTTTAAACAAATTTTCAACTTAACCTTTAATATGATGATCACTTAGACAAAAAAAAAAAAATAATAATAATAATAATTTTCAATGAAATGTGGTTTTAAATCACTTTTTGTAAATTTCTTTGTGATTTAAGTTTATTAGAATTAGTCTTTATATATATATTTCCTTTTAATTATTTATTTCATTCTAATAATTTCATTTGTAATTTTTCCCATCTATTCCCCCCCTTTTTTTCAAATAGAAAAATAGAAACGTTTAGAAATTCAGACAGTTGATTTAATCATCCAATTTTGGACGACTATCAACGCACATCAAATTAAATATTGTTTTCTAGAATACTAAATATAATATATAACAACAAAATCAAATTCGTGAATTTTGGAATCTAAATTGCCGATGATTTAAATGCAAATTGTTTTAATTTTGAATTTGTTCAAGTCCTTTGCTTTCATCAATATTCGATACCAAATCGGTAGTAGTATTGAAATTGTTCGAAAGAACCGTTGTACCAGTACTATTCATGCTGTGATTATCACTTTCATTGACGACAGAAATTTCTTCACCTGATGTATCATGTGAGTTTTTTGATCCATTTGACTCAACAATTTGTTCAACTGCTGCATCAATTTCCATTGTACTATCCTTATTAGGGATCGTTTCATTATTACTCCCTGGATCGATTATTGGAGACACACTACGATCTTCTCGAACAATTAATATTTCTGATGCCTGCATTTCTTCTGCTATTATCTTTTGTAATTGTTGTTGTTGTTGATATAGCTGAAATGTGGGAGGTTTGGGCGCTATAGGAATCGGTGTAATACTTGATTTGTTAGTTGATAATGGTTGTGGTAATTTCGGAGAATTTGATTGAAATTGCCGCACATGAGGTTGTAATGAAGGACGTGACGGGGATTGAACTTGTACTTGAGAGATTCTTTGAGGTTGTATCTGCACTTTTGGCAGCTGTGAAGTTAACATTTGTATCTGTGATTTTTGCGTTTCAATTAAAGGTTTCGTTGATACATGAGTAAATGTTCCATTATTATCATTTTGTTTTTCATTATCAGTACGACGAATCAATTTTAATTGTTCCATAACTGATCGCGTCAGTGAAGATTGTCCACGGCCTCTTCCCTTTGGTTTAATTGGACGTGGTGTACGTGAACCCTTGGAACTAAAAAGGTTCGTTGGTGTGAATCCGGACGGATTTCGTTTCGCATCAACCAACAGACTGGCCGATATTGTTGGCGCGGCTGAAAATGTAGGCGTGACGGTTGAGACAGTAGTATTATTTCCGGGCGTCAGCGCAACACTTGTGATAATCTCGTTATTACTGTTACGTCTCACAGTTGTCACAGGAGGTGGAGGTGGAAACTAGTGAATTAACAATTATGCCAAAACTCATGGGTCACGGTTTGAATAAGATTTATCGATAAAATTTATTTTCATTTCCAAGCGATTCTTACCTGGCGGTTAGGTTGATTAAAATGTATAGCTGACCAAGGAGGGTAATCTCGCTCAAGTTGCATTATTTTGTTCTCTAATGTTTTTAATCGTTCATAAACACTGAGAGGAATGGGTGTTACTGATCATTAAACGAAATGAAATGAGAATCATAACTTGAATCAACTTATACAAAATGAAAGGATATATAATAAATGATCACCTATTTCTATGTTTAAATGTTTTTCGATATTTTGTAATCTATCCTCAACACCTCTAGGTAATTCAGCTAACGATTTTTTATCAGGATCGATTCGATTATGATTGACTGAATTAAATGTCGAGCGAGCTAAGGGACCATCTTCATTGTTCACTACATCAAGTTTCATTTGAATATTTCGATTGATTTCGGCAGCGTCCGATCGAGCACATGATTGTTTATCTGAATTTTTGATCAATATTTTTTATAAATAACTCGCCTTATGAATGAAACTATGTTAATTCGAATAAAAGGTAGGGCTGTTACCATTTGGATCTAAAGGGTTATTCGATTTTTTCAAAAACTCGGCCCGATTACTATCATTGATTTCGGACTTTTTTAATTGAATAAAATTATCAATTCTTTGCTCGAGCTGTAATCGTAACACCATACATTCATATTAGAAATCAAAAAATATACATATTTATATTTAATTATAATTTCAGATTTGTATTATTACATCTACCTCGGAATTTGTGGTTCTAATTTGAACTTCTTGAGAACTCATTAACATTTGAACTTTTTTTGACGGGTTATCTTCACCTAAATAGATCAAACCCGAAATATGAATTATTCTCGTATAATTATTAATAAATCAAAAAGAATTTTCCATATGACAAACCATTTTCCTGTTCCATTTTTCTCTTAGAAGACTGAACATCAAATCTCGTTTTCAGTGTCTTTTGAAAAGATACAATTGTTAAAAATCTTTGTAATTTGAACACATTCAAACAATAATATAAAAAAAATAATAGATCAATAAATGAGATCAAAGACAATTCACTGTTAATTCTTTCAATAACCAATTAATATGTTTTGGAATTTGTTTTTCATGGTTCGCCGATAAGACAACTATTTCCATAAGTAATGCTTTATTGGTTTCAACCATTCCAATCTATAAATTAGGTAAGAATAAAATTTTATTACTATAAATCGATTATCATAATAATGAGAACGAATGAAAATATACCTTTGTAAAAAATTCAGAAAAAAGTTCATGCCATTCTTGTACATTATGAATTTCTTCTTGTTGTTCTTGTTGATAAGTTTCTATTATTTGAGGTTTTTGCTCAGTTATTGAAGTGGCTTCAACTGTAACAAATGACTTTTCATACTTTTCGTTAATTTCTTCTTCCATTATTCAAGAAACCTTTTTCATGAAATTTTTTTTAGATCTCGGTGCAATATCAACCCTGATTCGAGGTCACTCCTCACGTGATATAATTTTGAAAATCCGATTTTTTTTGATACTTTTTTTTAAAAAATAAATAAATAATGCTACTAGTTCAAAATTTCTATCATAATCAATCTACTTGTATTGTAAAAAAGAAAAAAAAGAAAAAAAATTAAAGATCCTGATTTGTGTAATGTTTTCATGAAAAAGTTACACGATCTTCAGCAACATTGTTTTTGGTGAAACATCAGGTCTAATATAGCATGTTTATAAAAGTTATAATTTCAAATTATTTACATTTCACAATTAAACTATTATTTAATGTTTAAAATTCTTACTTTTAATATTTCAATTGATTATTCTTGATATTGCCTACTAAGTTCAGTATGAAAAATATGTTAAATTCATAAAGAAAACTAAATAAGATTATTTAATCATATAATAACCTAATTATAACTAAATAACTTAGCTATAATTAAATAATCTAGTTGTAACTAAATATCTTAATTTATCAAAATAATCTAACTACAACTAAATAATTTAGGTTATTTGATCTTATAATAATTTAATTATAACTAAATTAACTAATTATATATTCTAATTATGTAGTTTTTTATGTTCTTTTATTTACACTATTATTTTTTTTATTTTTAAAATAGTGTTTTTTATTTTTCTCACATATATTTCTTATTTATCATGTAATTTAAATAATCTAAATGTAACTAATTTTATTAATATATGTGAACTTATAAATGCTTTCTAATATAAATTATGTTAGTTGAATTCTATAATCATTTAATTGTTAAATAGATATCTTCTTATTAATGACCTTCTGTAGTTATTAGATTTTCAGGTAATTAATTATACTAATCTCCTTCTGTAATATTTTATTACTTATTTGTAAGGTATTGGTTAGTCTAACTTTATGTTTCTTTTTATTATTAAAAAGTTATATATATATCAACAGTTTTTATTTTGCTTTTCATTTGCAAAAAAATATTATAATAGATGATATAGCAAATCTACTTAAATTTAACTGATACTATAATATAATTCTAGCTGATTTTTAAGACATATAATTTGAAAGATCTAACTATTTGCTTATTAGTTGCTAGTATAAATATTGTTAATATGCAATCTTTTCAGATTATAGCTGTTAGACGCGGTGTCAGAGGGTTGACTTTTTTATAGTTTATGTAGTAATTCCAATTAGTTTACGATAATCTTAGCTAATTCATTACTAGTTTATTAGATTAAATTAAGTTTATTAAATGTGAACAACTTCAATCATAAGTTAAGAGTTATTACAGTAAGTTCAAAAAGAGTTTTAGATAAGAAATAGGAAATACTTTATTGAAGTAAAAGAAAATAATAAGATAATTATATATAAAAGAAATAAGAAAAGAGAAATAAGAAACAGAGATACACAAGGTGAAGAGTAGCATTACACTATCTTTATAAGAGAAAAGTTCTATACGACTGTCAGTCTTGTCTCTTCTAATTAACAAAGGAGGTGGTATTTATATTTATTCTATTACATATTTTGATATATCTAATATATTAACTATGTTAACTATATCAACTATATTAACT